GTGTCACTAAGTTGCCCAAGCAGGCCTAGAACTTGTGATCCTCCTGCTCAGCCTTCTGAGTCACCAGGATTACAGTCATGTACCACCAGGCCAGGCCAATTTAGCTTTTTCAAAATAAGTTATGGCTTATACTGGAGGAAGAAAAAACAACCACCACTACAAAAGATAGGCTGTTGTCAAATTAACCATATAGATAAGAAGCTAAGAGCAGTACTTTCATAAATCTAATTCAACAGCAAGTACTATAATAAGTTCACAGGTATTTTATGTTTAAAATTCTATTTTAAAAAGTTAATTTACTACTTGAAACTGAGACCATGTCTCCTGTTTTCTCATCTTCCCCCACCTAACCCCCAAGTACTGGGGATTGAACCCAGGAGCACTCTACCACTGTGCTACATATCTACAGACCTTGTTATTTTTTCAGACAAGGTCTAAGTTGCCCAGGCTGACCTCAAACTTGCAATCTTTCTGCCTCAGCCTCCCTAGCAGCTGAGATTACAGGCATACACCACCATGCCCTGCTTTGACATTATCTTTTTAGTATCAATACATATTCAGTACAAGTGTGGCATTGAATTACTATTTGGATGATTCACTCAACAAATGTTTCCTAAATTGATTTTTTTCCCTAAATGTTTTTTTTTTTGAGAAGGGGGGGGAATTTTTTAATATTTATTTTTTAGTTTTCAGTGGACACAACATCTTTATTTTATTTTTATGTGGTGCTGAGGATCGAACCCAGCGCCTCGCTCATGCCAGGCAGGCGTGCTACCGCTTGAGCCACATCCCCAGCTCCTCCCCTAAATGTTTTTATATAACAGATATTAGAAAACAGAAATGAGAAAAAGGAAATGATGTATTAAAAATAATTTTTTCAAAGTTAACTTAGTATCATAAGTTATCTTAGTTAACTTTTTTAAAAGTACCTAAAGTTTAGATTCAAAGTAAAAGAAAAGCTAAGTTTTAGTGGGGTCACACAGCTAAATATACCCCCTGAAGAAAATTCTATTATCTGCATTACATAAGTAATATTATATATCAACTTTAGATTTTCAATCCAAAATAAACACATTTATAAATTTATCACTGGCTTTAAATAACTTTCATCTAGGAAAAATAGTCAATATTTTTTGTACCAAGTGTCATTTAATCATTTTATAAATTAGTCACTTTTCATTACTCAATACTTTCAATACATGTCTGTAAATGACATCTCAGGTCACAAACTCTAGTCTTGATTTTAATTCTCTTAAATAAACCAGCACACCTGTAGTCTGTCACTTGGTAGGCTGAAGGAGGAAGGAAGATTGCAAGTTCAAAGCCAACCTTAGCAAATAAGTCAGACCATCAGCAACCTAGCAATACTCTGCCTCAAAATTAAAAAGTAAAAAGGGCTGGAGGGTGTAGCTCACTAGTAAAGTGACCCCTCTGTTCAATTCCCGGTACCAATAAATAATAAAAATAAAAAGCACCAACAAAAATATTTAACAAATTTCAACAGCCTAAAGCACATCAGATAAAAAAGTATAATATAATTTCAAAACAACAGAAAAACAGAATAGATATTCCAATATAAACAAAGTTCTAATGATAATAGAATTGTTGTCACAGGAGTGCTCCAATATTTTAAAAGTACTTTAATACTACTATATTCTTCCACCAATTACAAAAGATTACCATGAAATCAACCTATGATATCCACATAGAGTTGTGTGATCTGAAGTATAGCTTGTAAGAATTACGAATCCTTCCCAAATTTAAATAACTCTGAAAACAAAATAACTTTCAAAATTAACAAGGTTATTTCAGAATATAAAGACCACAGTCCAGTTTCACTAGATAGGTTTTTCTCATACAAGTGAAAATCTACCAGCATGAAGTAATAAAACTATAATATTTTGCAGTCTCTAGTATTTAAGCATTAAAGTAAATTATGTTTGGTTATCATGTTTTAATCCTTTTTTAGACTTGGAACACCAATTTTTCTCCTTACTCTGAGATAAGGTATAAAATCACATATTCAAATAAATATCTAATAAATATCAAGTGAAACCAAAATTTCACTTGACTAATATATATAATTCATTGTCTCCTGAATTGACATAATAGGTAGATGTTAATTAAAACAAAACTGAAACATACCACTTGTTATTTAAGGTGATTTATTATAACTCTCCTGAAGTGGAGACACTGAACTTGAGAACCTTTGTTCAGATTCAGCTCTATCATTTCCATGCCATACACACAAACTGCTTCTTCATCTGTTAAATGGAAGTCAAAATATTACCTATCTTATACTATAGTTTTGAAGAAGAGGTGGAGACATTTAAACTGCAGTGCAAGGCAAACATCTGTCACATTATCTATTCTAGGTAAACAGGAAAACTATGATTGGATGCTGATAGCATAAAGTCAACTTTCAAATGTGTAGTGCTATCAATGAAAAAATATAAATAGTAAAATGATAAATAGCACATGCTTCATTCTGGAGTTCACAGCAATTTTTAATTTTCTGATGTTCTCCTTCCTGTCTATCTCTGTGCCTATACAGTTCAAAACCTTTCTTAAGGTTTAAATCACTTATTTTATTCTATATAAAGGTATCTTGTTAACTACCTATTAAAGTAAATGTCAAAAATAATTTAATATTAGATTTTCAAAATATTCCAATATTTGAAGTCCTTGGAGCATTAACTATACGGAGTTCATTTTTATCAGTTAACAATCAGAATTCCTAAAACTTCAGAATTAAACTTTTAAATTAAAATCACTATCAACTTTTTAAAATTCTATTGCTCATTAAAACATTAGCAGATAGTCAAAATAAATGCTAACATACTTTAGAAGCAGAATATGCATGATTTCATTCTTCTTTTTGAAATACATTAAAAACCCACTACTTAAAATATTAAGTATTCCAAAGAGATAATAACGGAAGCACATACTATTAGAACAAATTTCTTAAATATCCTGGGGGAGGAAAATGGGGGATGCTTTTTTGTCAGTTTCCAGTTACTTCTAAAGAGCTTTAGAAAAATACTAATTGCAGACCTCACCAACACACGACTAAATATTATCAATCAAACCATGACTCTCATGGTGAAATACTACCATGTAATAAAGATTTTAAGCTACGTACTGTTTTACCTTCATGAATACATTTTGTTACCACTTCAACTCTCTTTGAGCGAAGTTATTTTAAAAGGCTATTAATTCACTATTCTTTTCCACAATGATTTTTGTGTTTTCAACTTTCTCCCAGATTTGTTCAGAAAACAAATAAGACAGATTAAAATCTCGTTGGAGACCGCGTTACTGAGTACAAATATGGAATTTTGGTGGTAATGATTAAATATAAAACAATTCTTTTTTTTTTTTTAAGTAGAAAAAAGTGATATTTGGGGTCTCCTCCCTGGACAAGGAAGTTCTGTTAAATCCAAGCGAGACCAGCCATATTGGAAAACACTTGTCAATTATAGTTCTGACAAGTGTTCACGAACACGGTTGGATGAAGCTAACCTTGTGTACCGAGGTGTACATCAAGGCCCTCTTCTGCTCCGCCAGAGGGTCTGGGCCTGTTTGGGGATTGTCTCCGAAGTTAGAGCAGTCCTTAGGTCCGAAAGGAGTGCGGAGCCGAGGGGAAAGAGGGCGGGGAAAGGAGAGTTGGGGGGGAATGGTTTGAGAGTTGGAAGCCGCTATCCGAGAGGGGCGCGGCGGCGGCCAGGGATTTCCGAGTTGAGAGCCTGGGGGAGGGGCCGAGAATTCGGGGAGCTGGGGAGATCACGGCAAAAAGTCCCCTTGGTCCCTGTGAGGGGTCCGGGAGTTCGAGAAGAGGAAGGGAATAGGGAAACGCTTCGGTGCACTGACCTGTCTTCCGAGTCCATGCGGCTCAGAGGTTCCCCGTCCGACGACATCTCCAGGCTGCCTCGCCGGCCCCCGGAGGTCGCGCTGCTTCCGCCTCCCCCGGTCCCGTAGCCTTCGTCGCCGCCGCTAGAGACGACGCTACTACTACTGCTGCCGCCCCCGCCGCCGCCCTGGCTGCCCCGCGGTCCCTTGGGCTCCTCCAGGCCCTCCTTGCCGTCCCCATCCCCGCTGCTGCTGCTGGCGGCGCCGGGGCTCAGCGAGCGCGTCTCGTCGCTGCTACTCGCGCCGCTGCTGCCCACCAGGCTCTCGGCGCTACTCTCCTCCTCACCCCCGCCGCTGCTGCTGCTCTCGTCCTCTTCCTCCTCCTCGTCTTCCTCCTCGTCCTCATCCTCCCCGGCCTCTTCGTCCTCCTCCT